CCGCGCCCCAATGAGGCGCTGACGCCTCGGACCACCGCCTGACCTCGGGCTCGCGTGCGAGGCTCCAGATTCTGCTGAACATGGAGAGCAGCCCGATAATCCTACCGCCCTCAGTCTTCCTGGGGCGGATCCCCCCCCAATGTCATCATGATCTGAGGCGGCCAGGCGATCTCCGACTCGATGGCCATGTAGAGAGACGCCAAGTCGCCCAAAGCAGCGGACGGGAGCCGCTCGGAGTCAACTGGGGACATTCGATCGATCCCTTGGCCAGCACCAGGTGCCATGGACCGCGCCGCGCGCCGAATGTCCTCTCCAGAGATGTCTGGGAGAGGCTCGAGCTCGGCACGCGCACGAGCCTGACGGAGAGCCTCCTGCAAGGCTCCTGCATCAGGCTGTGACCGCGTCCACAGCTGTCTCCAGCGCTCGGCCATGTGGTCCACGATGCCCAGCGGCTGATAAAGGGTCCCCCCCTCGACCTCCAGCTCGTGGCGAACTGCCGGTTCCTGACGGATGCTGCGATGAAGTTTGCCTATGGCCGCATCTGTCTCCACCCAGGATCCGAAATATTTCAAGCTCCGGCCGGGATCTTACAGGACAGGTCCGCATACAACTGAAGCTGCTGCTGATCAATCCCTGCCTCGTCCAAGACGCGTCTGAAGACTTGCTGCCACTTTCGCCAACTAGGTTCCTTATTGCGAAGTAACGCGTGTGCTTTCTCTGGGCGATCGTCCACATGCCTGCCGAGGGATTCCAACAGACGTTCACGTTGCCGATGCCCATTGCCACGCTTGTAGTGCCGAGCTAATCCGCCCAGCAAGGCATGTAGCCGAGTCCACCAATACGAGAGAACATCACGCTCGGGCGTCAGCGGTTGCCTCTCCTGCTGATGGACCACATCGATACGAAACCAGGGGCCATCGCGACGGGCAATCCCAGGAGAGTCCTGTAGACCGCGGTGCTTCTAATGGCCAGCTCAGCAGCACTCACCCAAGACGCGTACAAGGAAGAGATGGCCTGCACGGCGGCAGGTGGATTGAGCCAAGAGGCCGCGGAGCGGAGGAACGGAGGGGAGGGGGGGATATCACCCGCTGGGGTGAAACCTACCTGCCTCTTGCTCGCTAACCACGTGGCCTCAGGGATATAAAAGTCGGCTTCATGCGCAACGCCATTCCAACCACTGTGAAACATGTTGCCAGGGATATAAAAGTCGGCTTCACAATTCGGGGGGGGGGGGGGGGGGGCGGAGGAGGAGGAGGGAGGAGGAAGAGGAGAAGAAGGGGTGGGTGAACCGTTCGGGGTCTGAAATCTTGCTGCACTTAGACGCTGGGAAGGGGGGGGGGGGGGGGCGGGCTTGGGGGCATAATTACGTCGGAACCATGCGGAGGCTGAACGATAGGGGGCTCTGGGGGAACCCTGCCCAAAGCACCTGATACAATATTACAACCTCGGAGCTGACCGGACTTAGCGGGAAGCCCTCCGCCTACTTCATTGTGCGCAGCTGGTTTAAGCTCAGACTCGTGGGCCAATGGGTCTTCCTCGGAAACGAAGCCTCCTCGTCGTTGAGACCCTCGGGGTATTCAAACTGGCATAGCTCCGAACTCCGTCGGGGGCGGAATGCTCATCTGACTCAAGGAGCTGCAAGACATCACTGAAAATCACATCGAACTGCTTTTTCCTCGCGGAGCTGCGCTGGCGACTGCGCCCCTCGCTCTCGGCCTTCGCTCGTCTGCTGTTCGAGCCCGGCGCCGGGGCTGCGCGAGGGCGCACAGCCTGCGGCAGATTGCGGGGCACGTCTAGATACCGAGCCTGAAACTGCTGCCCTGACCGACGTAAGTGCACCAAGAGGCCCACATGATATCCCCAAGGCACGGCAACGACAGAAGTGACTGCAGCAACATATGACTGGGCCATCTCAGAAACGATGAGGTAATCGATGTGCGAGCCCGCCCTGGAGCCCTGGGTGAAAGTGAACTCGATGTCTGCCCGTAGTACACGAGGGCGCCCGAGCAACCGCTTCATGAACTGCGACTTCCCCATGGCATCAGCACCGATGTTGCAACCGCCGATGGCGACCCACGGTATGCTCAGAGTGTTCAGCAGGGGGCCCAGCTTCTGGAACCTGGCCACGTTGGGCCTCGGAAGCCATAGGACGGGTGCCCGTAGAAGGTGATGATGGCCACGCTATAGCCGCTCATGTGCACGACGATCGCCTGAAAGCCATCTAGATGTTGATGTCCAGCAGCACGCAGAGGTCTCGCTCCCGCCTGGGAGAGCAGGGAGTGCATCTGCAAGTGGCCCTTGCGTAACATCCACTCGCCCCCCTCGTTGGACCTCGGCTGCTGCTGCTTCGAAACTCGCTTCTCTCTACCCCTGGCGGGGTTCGCTAAAAGTTTGAGGCCCGCCCTCCGAGCCTTCATATCCCATGCTGAAGCGTCGGGCTCTGAAACGTGAGTCTCGGCAGCTCCCGCAAAATCGAACTTCCCGCTGGACATGGACTTCCAAGATTTGTCGCCAATACAGGTAATATTGCCGAACAGGAAAGCGGACAAGTCCCCCTGCTTGTCCCCCTGCTGCGTGGGCGGCCCCTGTGAACAGACTTCGCCCGTGCCCGTCACGAGTGGCGCCTGCTCGCCGTCGCTAGTGGTAACAGAATCTAATCAACTGCTCCGACCGCCGCCCTTGCCAACGACATCGGCGTCGACCGAGCCGCCGCCTTTGCCCTTGCCGACCGACTTGGCAGCGTTCGCAGCCTGCTCCTCCAATACATTGCGGTGGGCCTGCAGCTTGGCGGCCGGGATCTTCTCCGCCGTGCGCTGCAGCTCCTCGTCGTCCTCGCTGCCGACGGGCACGTTTGCCGCTGCCTGGAGCCGCACGACGTTGTTGGCCGCCTGAGTGTGCTTGTGGTCAGCGCCCTTCCACGCCCCAACAGCTCGCCGCAACGCCTCAGCTGGGCCGTCTGCCGTGACCGCGGGGACAGGCACAAGCTTGGCCACCTCGCCCTGCAGGACCTTCCTCAGGTCCGAACTGTCCGTGTACTTGACCGCCAGCTGCAACAAAGAGGGAACGTCCAGCGAGGATGCGGGAACCGTACCAACCTCCTTGTCCTTGTCCTTGTCCTTGCCCTTGCCGCTCTTCGACTGCTTGCCTCCACCTTCGCTGGCAGGGTCGTTGGCCGCAGGCGCAGGAGGGCCAGGGCGAGGCTTGTACAGCTTCACTTGTCGTTTGCATCCCTGGCAAAATCGGTCTTGAGAGAGCAATACATCGTTGTATTCACACCGACTGCACGCTGCGCAACGAGACCAAGGACGAGACATGGTGCACTGAAACCTTCTGTTTTAGTCGTCACCAGCGGCTCTCCCCTGGAGAGCGAGGGTGAAGTGCCTCAAGCACCACGTGCAGGCACAGAAGGCGGGCTCGCCAAAATGGACTTGAGCCCAAATTGCTTGAGAGGAGGAGAAGGAGGAGGAGGAGGAGGAGGAGGAGGAGGAGGAGGAGGAGGAGGAGGGGGGAGGAGGAGGAGGGGGAGGAGGAGGAGGAGGAGGAGGGAGGAGGAGGCAGGAGGAGGGAGGACGAGGGGGGCCGAGAGGAAGAGACCTCCCTGAGGGCGCAGGGCCACGGAACTGGGGCGGGGCGGGGCAGGCAGCCCTCTGAGAGGGAGAGGCGGCGGCAGCCGCGACTGCCCAGCTCCAAGAACTTGCCATCGTGCGGACGTCCTCTCCCCGTGTGCTTGTCGGCTTCGTGCATGCCTTTTTTTTCTCCCCCAGATGGTCCAGGATGCTCTTCGATGGTCTTTGCCGAGGGAAAATGCACACGCCCGAGCGATGCCAAAAAAGTCCTGGCTCGGGCGTGCCAACGCGCTTCCCGGATGGGGTCGGAGCAGATGGCGTCGGAGGGTCTCGCCGCATCGCCGATGCATCGGCGATGCATCGTCGATGCATCGGCGACGTGGGCGATGCATCGGCGACATTGGCGTGGAGAACATCGGGCTCTACATCGAGCTGCATCGCCGATGCATCGGCGATGCGGCGCGATCCTCCGACCCCATCCAGGAGGCCTGGAGGCGTTTCAACGCCCTCCTGGCTGGTGCATGTGCGAGGTTCCCGTCACCCGACGAGAGAGGGGGAGGAGACTGGCCGCCGCAGTGTACTGCCGTAGAGCGGCAAGTACCAATTCCTCCCCCCCCCCCCCGCGCCTGTCGTTGTCGTGTCGCCTGTCGTCCCCGTGGTCGTGTCGTGTCGTGTCCTTACTCTTGCCACAAGGCTCCTCCTGTGCTTGTAAAACAATTTCTGGTACTCGACTCCAACGAACACTGCGCCAAGCCGACGCTCCGGCCAGCAGCATTGAAGAGCGTGCCGCCGCATGGCGCGGTCGAGCGCCTAAGTCTTGCTTGCGGTGGGAGGCCGCACGTTGGAAAACGAGAATGTGCGGGCAGCCGGCCGCAGCATTCCTGTGTGAGCTGAGTCGGTCGAAGAATCGGCCAGCGCCCACTTTGCCATCGTGCGGACGTCCATTCCCTGTGCACGTTTCGATTTCGTTTGTTAGTTTTCCCGCGATCTGATACAATATGCTCTTCGATGGTCCCCGCCGAGAAAATTACACACGTCCGAGCGATACCAAGTGCCAATGTGAGCTGAGGCGGTCAAAGTTTCGGCCAGCACCCAGATGGTCCCTCTGTTGGGTTGAGATGCTTTGCTGTTGCCCTTGCAGAACACCCAAGGATCACCGAGACCCTGCCGAAACAAACGCTGTAGTTGTTGCTCCTGGCGGCTCGCATGCAAGCGTCAAACAGTGCAGGTCACAGTAGGTTAGTTGACGCCTAGACCCTACATAAAATCGAGGCCCCCCTCCAACCCTCTTCTTGTTGAGTTTAAGGCTCCTGGCCATGCTGCCATGGCAACTTACCCACACCCCTGGACACACAGAGGAAAGGGGACGGTAGGATGGGACCAACTTCAAGGACCAGTGCATGCAACGTCAGCACGCGTGTTGCCCCCGCTGACGTTTTTGAACTCAATCTTCTCGATCTTGACGTGCCTGAAGAAGCTACATATGAGGGCCGCCATGTCGAGGTCTGCGTCGTGGGGCGACCAAAGGCACATTGAAATGGACACATCAGACGTCAACGACAACCAACACAACATTGAACTAGCCACATGAGACAGCATCAGCAGCAAAAGCCGCAGTAGACTCTCCCGCATGATATGTTCGAACATATGCACTCATCGCACTGGCAACTGCCTCCTCCTCCTCCTCCTCCTCCGCCTCCTCCTCCTCCTACCTCCTACCTCCTACCTCCTACCTCCTACCACCTCATCCTCCTCCCTCTCCTCCTCCCCCTCCTCCTCCTCGTCTTTCTGCCCCCTCTTCCCCCTCCACCTGTTGAGCCTCATCTTCCTCCTCCCCTAGAACGACCCCCAGGAGCCGTCCGTCCGTTCATGGCTGCGCGCACACTACTTTTCCTCCTCCTCCTTCCCCCCCTCCTCCTCCTCCTCATCCTCCTCCTCCTCCTCCTCCTCCTCATCATTATCATCATCATCGTCATCATCACCATCATCATCAGCATCATCAGCATCATCATCATCACCATCACCATCACCATCACCATCATCCTCCTCCTCCTTCTCCTCGGGATCACCGTCAGACCGTCAGCCTCGTCAAGATTCCAATATTCCCCTCCTCCAGCTCCCCTTCTTTTCGTGCTGCTTCTCCTCCTCCTCCTCAGCCTCCTCCGCCCCCTCCCCATCGTGTTCCTCCACATCTTCCTCCTCGACCGCCTCCTCCTACTCCTCGCACACACGTGCGCGTCTATTTGTCATCAGGGGCGCCGCTGGCGGGCAACCGCCAGGCATAACACATCATTCCTTACGTAACTCAACTTGCCGTTTTGTTAAGTTTGGCCGCTCGGGACATGTCTCTGGGAACGTGTTCCAGATTATCTTTTGCTTTTTGATGTGGTCCCTGCTTTTTATCGAACTCGATACGTAGTCGGACGAGCCAGGGAACATGCCATGCCAGGAGACGTGCCGCGGGACGTTCCAGGGGACGCGCCAGGAGGGGGGTTGGGAAGAGCGGGATGGAAGTTGAAGGAGGCGCTGGGATTCAAAGCCGGGAGCAGAAGAAGTGGCGACGGGTGAGGAAGGCGGCTCCGAAAGCGAAGACGGAGACCGAGAAACGGCTCGGGCAAGTGTTCCGCAACTCTCCTTAACGCTCGGCACTGCCCATGTCTGAGCTCGCGCATGGCACGACTGCACGACGCAAGGAGAAGATCTCCGCTCAAACTGTCCAGGTCGATCACGACCATCATCCGTGCGCCGGGGCACGTAGCACGTCCAAGAAGTTCGAGAACTAGCTCTGTGCATCAAGGAGGCCAGCCAAAGATAGGATTCGAAGGGGATTGATGTCACGCGGCCAACACAGCTCCGCATAAAATGTGCCGTCGCAGGGTCGTCCAAAGCTGCACTTATGTACGAGACTGATGTGCTCCGCAATATGTGCACATCGTTAACCAGTGCTCATTGCTGCTCGTTCGATTCTGAGTTTGGAGATCACCGTCGAGTCCGCAACTGCTGGCGCTGACGCAACCTGAGCCCTAGTATAGCCACAGGAAGGCCTGAAGCAGAACGGTTGAAGGCATAATTCGGGCACGCGCTGACACTGGCCATCGCTCGGACGTCCATTCCCTGTGCTTCTTTCGGTTTCGTGCGTGGAATTTTCGCAGGATGATCCAGGACGCTCCTGAAATAATCCCCGCCGAGAAAAAGTGCACACGTCCGAGCGGTACCAGGGACATGGATTAGAGATCCTTTGGGTGTCCCAAAACCGTGTGGTGACAGACCCGGCGGCGACCTCGCAATCCGCAGAGACCTCACAGCGTGGTCGGTCACCACACGGTTTTTGGGGCCCTGGAGGCCCCCACCGCCCGAGACGTCCTCGGAGAACGGCCCGAGCCCAGAAACCGTGCGGTGACCCCGAACCCCCACCGACTCACCGCACGGTGTGGTCACCGCCCGGAGGAGGGGGAGGAGGAGGAGGAGGAGGAGGAGGAGGAGGAGGAGGGGTTTTGGGGGCCCCCGACCTCCGGGGGTCTGGCGCGCCGGCGCGGGCGAGGCCGGTGCCGCCAAACCTGGCGGCGGTGCGCGCCGACCTCGGCCAGGGAGGCGGGGCCCGTCGCCGCTCCAGGAGCCGCCAGCCACGGTTCGCGCTCCCCTCCAGCAGTGGTGTCTCGTGGCCACCTGCCAGACCACCCCAGCCCCACCCGAAGGCCCGCATGTCGGGTTGGGGGGGGGGGGGTTATGGGTTCCACACGTGTGCTGTTTCAGTGTTCCCCGACCCCCCTCCCCCCCACTGGAAGTGGAGGGCCCATCGTAACCGGCCTCGAGCTCATCCCTATCCCTGAGGTGGGCGGGCAAGAAGCGAGGACAACCTTAGGGATGGGCCCTCGGAAACTGCGGGAATCCCTGAGATCGGCATCGAGGTGAGGTGATGTCGAACAGAGGGATAGGGATATGCTCCAAACTGGTAACATCGAGGCCTTCGGGTCGGCTTTGGGGTGGTCTGGTGGGTGGCGCTTGTGGCCCTCGAGGCTCCGCCGCCCTCGAAGACCCGGAGCACCGGCGAGGCGTGCGCACGGGGCCGAGCATGGCCGCCGGCTCAGCGCACGGCACGGCCCCCGCGCTGCCGTGGAGGAGAGAGCGCCGCGCGAGACGCGAAGGGGGCCCCGCTGGCCACGTCGAGCCTCGGCCACGACCAGGCTCACAGACCCAACTCCAAGGAACGGCCCGAGAACCCAAAGTGGTCCTCACTTCGTCGGTTTAGACCGGTGAGCCCGAAAAAGAACCAACCCTTTAGGAGGGGACCTGAGTTGGGAGGGCCAGAAACATTAGGGTTAGAGGGTCTTTGTCTGCAGGTGCACCAGGCCAAACCGCCCAGATGTATTATCCCTGATGTGAAGCCGGGGGCCTCAGTGAGGCCGCGTCTTCATCGTGTTATTCGAGTTCGGAGCCCCCTTGTTTTCAAAGATCGACTGCATCGACCTTCCAGCAGCGGTGAGAGACGAGGCCGTGGGCGTGGCGAGCGGCGGCCTATGTGCACGAGCCCCGCCCGGAGGAGGTACTGCGACTTGTACTTGCCCTCCTGGGCGGCGCCGGAGGGTCCAAGCGCGGATCGCCCCCGTGATGCCCTCGACCCTTGGGACATTCGACGGCGGGCCCACGGGGGGGGAACCAGAAAAGGCGACACCACCACCACCAGGGCGAGGAGAAGCGGGGAGGCAAGGGGGGCCTCCCTGGTGGTGTGGTCCCCCCTCATGGCTGGAGGTGGGCCCCCTGGTGGTGGTGGTGTCGCTTCTCCTCCCTCCGACAGGGGGAGGGACGGCAGAGGACGCGGGCCTTGCACGAATGGTCAGAAGGCCTCTGGCCTTCCAAGAAGCTCTCCAGCCCTCCTCGGAGGCCGCGCCGCCTTCGGAGAAGGCCTGCCGCCTCTCTCTCTCTCTCTCTCTCTCACTTCCCCCCCGCGGCACGCCGCCGAGAAATGAGACGCTCTGGCCGTAGCCCTAAGTCGGGCCTGTCCATCACAAATAGTAAAACAAAATAGTCTGGGGACTATGTTTTGAGTATTTGGGGGCATCTTGTGCGTATGTTTTGAATATTCTGAATTTTTGGTCCCAAATCCCCCTGTAGGGGGACAGGCCCGACCTAACCGTAGCCCCAGGACCCGTTCCAACATCACCCAGCGGCCAACCGTGCAGTGCAGGAGGCATCCTCTCGCACTGCCGATACGCGGGGCGACGGGGGAGACGCGCGCGAATCGGAAACGTCGACTGAACAACGTCCCAGCCCGCGCCATCCCTCGAAAGGCCAATTCGAAACCGGCCTCCTCCTCCTGCTGCTCCTCCTGTTGCTCCTCTTATCTCCTCCTCCTCCTCCTCCTCCTCCTCCTCCTCTTCCTCCTCCTCCTCCTCCTCCTCCTCCTCCTCCTCCTCTCCTGTTGCCTCCTCCTCCCTCCTCCTCCTGATCCTCATCCTCCTTCTGGCGGCGAGAAGCCCCCATGGAGGACATGCCCTCCGACTACGGGGGGGGGCAGCACTACGGCAGGGGCGACCCCCCCCACACACCTGCAGCGCTCGCGACATCCCGCCCCCCACGCTGCGGCATGAGCCAGAAGGAGAGACATCTGCATACGCGTCCTCTTTCGGAGGTCCGCGCGGATCTCGTGGGTCCGGTCGGCCCTTCGCAAGTCGATGCTCGCTCAGCCCTCTTGTTCAACCTCAAGAAGTAGTCCAGAACCCCCACGGGGTTATCAGGAACACCGCACCGATACCAATAAATTTTGGGAGTCCCGAAACGGTGCGGTGACAGACCGTGCGGTGACCTCGAAATCCCCCAAGACCTCACCGCACGGTCCGTCACCACACGGTCTTGGGACCTCGGAGGCCCCTGTCGCCCGAGACGCCCACGGAGAACGGCCCGAGCCCCAAAACCGTGCGGTGACCCCGTATCCCCACCGACTCACCGCACGGTGTGGTCACCGCACCGTTTGGGAGCCCCCGAAAATTCCAGGGGGGGCGTTCTAGCCGACCGATCACTTTCGTCCTCGGCCCCCGTCTTGCTCCCTCGATCTCCGAGCGTTCGCCCTCGGGGCAGGAGGGAGCACCACGCGAAAACGAGGCAAGTCCTCCTCCTCCTCCTCCTCCTCCTCCTCCTCCTCTTCCTCCTCCTCCTCCTCCTCCTCCTCCCCCTCCTCCTCCTCCGTCGTCCGTAGCCATTTTGGCTCAAGTCCGTAGCGTTTCGCTCTGGACAGGAGTCTTCTGGCGTGGGGGAGGCGCGCCCCCGCCCGTGATCCTGCACCAGTTTTTGCTGGTTCAGATTCCTTGTGAGCTCCTGGTGGAGCACTCTTCTTAACACGGCGTACCTTTCGAGTCCCCGCAGGATCTGCCTCCTGCTGCTCGCCCCATGGCTCCTCCCGCGGCCGCTGCTGTCAGGCCTCCATGGAGGAAGGCTGCTCCCCCGCCCTGGGTGGGGCAGTGGAGGGAGTGGCGCGACATGGGCCCAGGAGACTCTGAAGGTTGGAAGGAGGTCGGGAAAGCTCCTGCTTGCGCGAAGTGCGGTTGCAAAAAGAATGTTCGTGGAAGCGTGTTCTGCAGAGCCTGTGGCCACAAGCTGTCCGACGTTGCCCCGGCTGCACCACCTGAGCCTGGCGGAGTTTGGGCTGACGCCGCGATGCATGGTGACGGAGGCAAAGGTGGCAAGAAAGGCAAGGGGCGCAAGGGCAAAGGGGGCAAGGGCCCAGACGCTGCCGTCGGCGGTCAGGCCCTGCCCCGTGCCCCAGGAGCCCAGTTCTTGGTGGCCCAGTCGGAAGACAGCGAGATGGACATCGGAGACCTGGAGAGGTTGGTGGCGATGCTGGAGCGCGCGGGCGACGTGGCCAGCGCGGCGAAGCACAAGAGCACCCTCACTGAGAGGCGCCGCAAGGAGGCTGAGAAGGCGTACGTGGCCCCGCTGTCTCAGAGGGTCACCTTGGCCCACAAATAAGCGGCTGAGGTCAGTCAGAAGCTCGAGAAGGCGGTGGCTCACTTCGAGCGACTGCAGGAGGGGCTCGAGCAGCAGCGCAGATGGGTGCAGCAGCTCACTACCGAGCTCGAGGAGCGCGAGAAGGAGCACTGCCGCCTGGTGGTGGAGCTCAAGGAGACGTACGTGCCGCCGCAGCAAGCCCCGCCTCAAGCTCTCAGCGTGGCGGGCATCTTGGATGGCACGATCGAGTCGATTCCGCTGTCCTTCGCTGGCCTGGGCTTCGACGATGCGGGGTATGATATGGAAGATTCGGACAAGAGAGAGTTGGAAGAACGAACCGCTCGCCTGCAGACCGAGCTGGCGGCGGCCGTCAAGGCGATGTTCCGCCAGGCGGCGGAGAAGGCCAAGGCCTTCAAGATCGAGCAGGAGAAGATGGCGGCCCGCCTGGCGGGCAAGCGCAGGCGGCAGGACTCTGAGGCCGCGGCTCCTGGCCCTGATGCGGCGCCTGCTGCTGCTGCTGGACCGCCTTCCGAAGGCGATGGGGCAGCTGCCTCCGCGGAGGCCCCTCTGCCTGCGCCCGCGGCGCCAGCTGCAGGGGCGGGCGCTGGCGACGGGCTCAAGCAGCGAGCAGCCAGAATCTGCCGCCCGCCGCCCCCTCAGGCCACGAGCTCGGCCTGAGGGGGCCAGCTCCCTGATCAAGAGCGCCGTTGTTCAGCTGGGCCCAGCGGCGCGTAGCGGCCCGCCTGGGCCAGGCCCAGGCGCGCAGCCCACATGTTCTATGGCTTCGGCATCTCCCGCTGGGGCAACGGCCACGGGAAGGTCGTCTTCGGCTGGGGCACAGGCCCCCTCAGGTGCCAGCCGAGACGCCGCCGCCGCGGAGGCTCCAGCATCCTAGGGGCCCGCCGCCGCCGCGCCGCTGGTGCCAGAGGGGGCCCAGCCACATGAGGGGCTCAGATCGGCACGGGCCCCTCTTTTGGCCAGCTCGAGCGCCGCCGCCGCAGAGGCTCCAGCATCCTGGGGATCTGCCGCCGCCGCGCCGCTGCGCCCAAGAGGGGGCCAGCCACATGGTCGACCCAGAGGCGCCCCTAGCGGGCAGCGTCGTCGCCACGCAGCCGGCCCCGATGGCGCGCATTGTCCTCCGCGGCCTGCGGCCACAGGGGAGGGCAGTACCGACCGTCGGGGAAGAGCCTCGACACTGGGGAACGCGATGGCGTGGCACGAGGCAGACCCGTTTCTCAACGTTGTCACCTACAACAGCAACGCCTGGGCAACGGCCCGCAAGTTCCTGGAATGGGCCAAAGAGGGGCCGCGGGCTACCACGTTCGACATCAGGCTGTTCCAGGAGACGAGGCTGACGCAGGCCCAGCAGGTGGGGCCACGTGCATGGGCGTACCAGGCTGGTTTCACTTCGACCTTTTCGTGTGCTGCCTCGACGGGCTTGGCCGACAACGCGACCTCGGGAGGAGTTGCAGTGCTGACCTCGGCCAGGTTTGGAGCGTCGGATGTGGTGCACGAGCTCACGTCGGAAAGGATGTGCGCCAGAAGATTGGTTCTCTCGGATCGGGTGCAGCTCATGGCGATCTCAGTCTACGGCCACACGCAGATTGGCCTCTCGGGGGAGAACCTTACTTTTTTGGCTCAGCTCAGCGAGCTGGCCTCGTCGACACCCCTACCCGTGCTAATCGCTGGGGACTGGAACATCGATGCGGAAGTTTTGCGAGAGTCCAGGTGGTGCGAACACTTGGGAGCGACAATAGTTCGGCCGCCTGGGCCAACATGCCACGACAAATGCTACGATTTCTTTGTGATCAGCAGGTGCCTCGAGTACCATGTCGATGAAGTCCGGGGGTGGCCCGACACGCCCACAGGACCCCACTCGTCGGTGCACCTCCGCCTGAAGGACCTTGCTGGGGCAGCGAAGGCGTGGAAGCGGATTGTCCCGAAGGCCTTTCCCTCGGCACGGACCGACGAGGAGAAGCGGATCTTCGTCACGCCTGAGGGGGGCCAGACATACGGCTTCGACTTGGACAGGCCTATGGAGGCCGCTGCCCAGTGGTTCGATGCGGCGGAGGCGGAGCTGGTCAAGCTGCATGGTCTCGGACAAACGAAGGGATGCGTAGGCAGGTCGTCGGGCTGCCAGATCCAGAAGGTCCCCCTGCAGGCGGCCTGGGGGCAGGACCTCAACCAGCGCTGCTCGGTCCACACGCAGAACTGGCTCGCTGTCAGGAGGCTGGCGATGCTCTACATGCGCAGGGAGAAGGACCGTGAGCGCTTGCTGTCCAAGGCTGGCGCCTGTGGCCACCTGCTGCAAAGTGCCGAGGTAGAGCAGCTCAGAGGGTTCACCGTAGACTCTCTGTTTAGAAGCCTGCTAGCCTGTGATCAAAAGGCTGAGGTTGTGAATTGGCTACAGGCCGAAGTTTCTAAGCGTGTGTCCCAAGAGGCGGCTGAGGGGCGCCGGAAATGGAGGTCGTGGGCGCAGTCGTCTGTCGTTTGGGGGGGGGGGGCGGGTTGCTCACAGGTATTCGAAGGGCCCCTCGGCGCCTCCCCAGCCCGTGTTTGCTGATGAGCAGGAAGGGGATTGTGCTCCCCTAGTAGGCGATGCAGCATTGCAGCGGACCCTTCAAG